TGTATATTTTATATCAATGAGATATGTCATGTGGATATGGCAAAGACATGTGAAGATATCTTGGATTTGGGGAAATTATCCGATCAATATTTTCATTTATCACAGTGATTATTTTCAAACATGAAAAAATAACTAGTGGTACAATTAATGATGACAATAATTTTCAATTGCATTTAAAACAAGCAACTTATTAGTTATTTATTTTCATTTTGAGGAAACTGGCTTTGATTTGACTCTCACTAAGCAGTTTAGGCTTCAATACAACATGTTTTCTTCCCCTGTCAGCCCTGCAGTCCTTAAAAACACAGAAAATCATTGTTTCATTACATGAATTGGCATTTTTAAAAACAAAAAAAATACCCCCAAATCTCTGATTACAGATCCTCCCATGTGAAAAGTTGCTGTTTTTCTCATTTTAAATTGATTTCTGTGGGAATTTTTTGGTGTGTGGGTGTCATCTTGATAAGAATGATCATTTCACAGAGTGATTAATTATGATCTTAAAAACAATCACACACTGCAATCTAAGAAAACAAGTGATTATAGGGGGACATGTTCTAATGTGTGACCCCTCATTCCTTTGTGCCTTCAGAGCTGTCCTCCTGAGCGGCTCTCTCTCTGGAGATGGATCCCGCTGTCATGGAATTTGTCACCAAAATGTCAAGCAAATGAGGCAGATTTGAACAAGATTAGGAGCTCCAAACCCTTATTACCTCCCACCTCCCTCTCTCTCTCTCTCTCTCTCCCTCCCTCCCTCACTTTTTTTTTTTTTTATAGCCTGAGTGCTGAAGTCGGAGGCGCTCCTCTGTGTTTTTGTGTGTGTGTGTGTGTGTGTGTGTTGCCAGTGCGCACCACGGCATCGCTGCACACACCAACACCGCTCGGACTGTTGCTGCGCCCGGAGCACCTGCAGGCGCGAAGGTAGGAGGGGAAAGAAAGAGGCACCAAAAAAAGAAAGAGGTGAGATTTTTGAAAGAGAGAGACATTAAAGAGAAAGGAAGAAGAAGAAGAAGAAGCAGAAGAAGAAGAAGAAGAAGAAGGGGGCCGGCCGGGCGGGAGGAGCGCACCATGGCCTCAAAGGAGAGCACAGCGGCGGGCTTCGTGAACGTCAGCAGGGAAATCACAGGTGAGCTGACTTTTTTTTCCCCCCGATCAAAGTGCCATTTTTAAAAAAGAAAGATGGAAATAAAAAGGACGGAGAGGTGGATGAGAGGAGGGATTGAAGACGGTTAGTTTTTTTTCTTTTACTCAGCTGCTCCTTTCACAACCCGAAAAAAGAGGAGTTATCACCGCAGGCGAGAGCGCACGAAATGTCTCCCACAAGGCGTTAAGAAAGACAGAAAAGCCCGGAGTTAATGGCTGTGGAAGCTTGCGAGGTTTTGTAATCTCATCGATCTCCGGTGCAAAGGAGTGTTCACTTTGGGATTGATTTGTCATAAAGAGCGGCCGCTGAAATTTATCGCGCACATGGGTGCCGTGGCGCTGACAGGAGTTATTTTTAAGCCATGTGAGCGCATAGTGAGGCTTTCGTGCGCATTCGTTAGTTTTTTTCATCCCATTTTCTTTTCTCCTTGTGTGTGTGTGTGTGTGTGTGTGGGAGTTATTGTGCGACCGGGAGCGCTTTGCTTTGCGTGCAGAAGCATGGGTTGAGTTGCACACATGCTGAAAGGGATCGGACACACACACACACAGATAACACAACACAAGCGGTGTGTTTTAAGCTGGATGTGTTAAACGAGGTGTCTCTCACTGCTAATTATCTTGATGCGACGAGTTAAGTCCCCTGTTTACCACTTCGACCTGGTCAAGCTCCCTTCTGTCTGGCCTGGTGATCCAGCCGGTATTAGGCCATTAACGCACCTGCCAAATGCAAAGGATCAGATGGGGAAGGGAGGAGATTTGATGAGCTTGTTGTGGAGGGAGCAGATCCATCAATCTGTACAAAAAAAAGACAGCGTGGAGGTGAGAGGGATGGGTGGTTAGATCCATCTTCTCCCCTCCTCTTCACCCCCCTTTTGGGAACAGATGCCGAGGTGACACCAGCAGGCCTTTTGAGGAGGGGGGGGTGCATAAAGTGTTAACAGGTTTAAGCGATTGGGTCTTACCCAGATTAATGTCAGTAACTCTCTGTCTTCAGCTCATCCTTCTTTCGATCTACCGGTGTGCTGTCTCCCCCCTCCTCCTCCTCCTCCTCCTCCCATCCTTTCCACCATCCCATCCTCATCCTCCCCGCATCTGCCGCCGCTCAATCAACTGTGAGAGCCAACTTCATGGCTGTTGCCGGATTCTGGATGGATGGGGAAAGTGAGAATTATGAGTGTGCAGTTCCAGTGAGAGACTGTGACACAGTGGAGCATCGTGACACAGCATGACTCGCTTGTATCTCCATCTGCCGGGCTCCGTGGCTGCATATTTAGCACGGGGTGGCCCCCTTCGTTTTTTCCGAATACATCGCACAGCTTGTGGGCATATGTGCCTGTTTGCAGTCGGAGGGATGTAGGTTGTGTTTGCGAGAGGCAGGTTGTGTTGCTCGCCGGTGGTGGACATGCAAATGGAAGAGGGCCTCTGGTGCGGTTCAGTGAGCTTCAGCAGGGTCGCCTGGCGTGGTGGAGTGGAGGTCCCTGAAGATTGCAGCTCTGGATGGTGTGTTTGGTTCCACTGAGATGAGCTGGGCTGCTTCTTTCTTTCTTTCCTTCTTTCTTTCTCTGAGGCTATAAATAGCCCAGTTACGAGTCCTCCAGAGCTAGAAGTTGTGTATGTGTCTGCCCGTCCTCATGTTTGTGTCTTTGTAGCTGTCGACTTGTCTCTGTGACTGTTCAGCCCTGTGCGGCTGTCTTTAAAAGGAATAATCCACCTGCTTCTCCCTAAACTGAAAATCAGAGATAAGAAGCGACGACCCTGGGGATTTTACTGGGACATATATCCTCCGATTGACGGCTACATCCAGACAGAGGCAGGTCTATCGAAAATATCAAACAAACGCTCTACGGGGAGCGGATTCGTTTCCATAGGACCCAACCAGGAAGTGTCATTTACTCGTGTCCTAATTCCAAGTCCTTAACGCTCTGATGTTCAGCTTATTTTACTCTTGAAAGTCACTAATAGCTAACTAAACAGATGGGTGACAAATTAAATGAAAATAGCAAATAAAGCATGATATAAAGTTCTGGTTTTGTCAGATCAAAAACAAGAGATGGATAAACCAGAAACTATGAATATTCTCAATGAATTCTTGGCATTTTAGTTTCTCTTAATGAACTAATTGACCTACATCTGTCAGCTCCTCCTCTGAGTGGATCACATGGTCTTTATCCGCCTTTTCATTTTCTACATTTGCCTTGAACCTTCAGGTGTTCAAACTTCACTTCACTATGGTAGCCTCGACAGCTCAGAGCAAACTTTATTTCCTGAGACCATGTGATTGAGTTGAAACCTCCTGAACAAGCTAAGATTGTTCTGGCCAGTGTGTCCGAAGTCAAGAACAAACCATCAAGGTCGACCTTTCTTGCTGTTTTGGTCTAATATCCCCTGCAAGTGTGAGGTTGAGATCTGATAACTGAAGACCGCAGCGTATGATTCACACCGTTTTTATGAGGGAAGCATATCTGATATGCTGGATCAGCACTGATGCTGAACTTATTAAGTGGATGTATGAAACGCGAGTGGCTGTCATGACGAAGCACCCAGCTGCTATCGCGCCAGGACTTCTGTGCTAAATGTTCTCTTCGGGATGTTACAGCGGACCTCAGCGTTGACAGTCTGACCCCAGGGGACATATTCCCGGTACCACATGAAGGTCAAGGCGTGCTCTCGGTGTGCTCCTGACGTGGTGGTTCAGGTCTGGACGGCTCTTCCACGGTGAAACTGCTGTTTAGCCATAATCCTCAACATGAAGTCATCCAGGACCTGTTTGTTTGCTTGCAGCTTTCGAACCGGAGCTGTTTGTGCAGATGCATGGTGGAATCGCACATGTTTATCTGCAAGAGCTCACAAAGTTATGTAAACACATGTCCCAGTGTTGATTGTGTTGGAAAATTCTAATCAATTGTATGTCCAAGCAGGCCATTTTCCTAATAGATGTACGTGTATTTAATCGATATCCTGAAATATAGAATCATAAAGCTAAAATATATTGATGCTAATTACTGAGGAGAGTGAGAAGCACACTAATAAACTCCACTGTTGATATATGCGTATAGGAAAAAAAGGCCATATGGGCCGGTTCGATCTTGTGGCTCATGAAATTGATGATTGTCAGTATGAGAAGTCTGAAAAGAATCTTTAATGAGGACGTTCTGTGAGCCGTCCACACGCCACTGATAGAAGCCATTCCGCTAACCTCAACATTCAAAACACAAGATGTCCTGAATATAACGACTGAACAGGGTTTGAATGCAAACAAAAGCCCATCACACGGCTCATGAGAGACTCCAGTGATGATGTGATGACTGACTCTTCTCCTTTTCTTAAATGTGGTCGGATTATTTGGTGTCGGGGTATTTCAATGAGTGCGGTGTGATTATAAATTCACCACAAAAATCGTGCATCGAATCCCGACCGCTGAGAGTTACCGCTCACGTCTGTTGCATGTGCGCAACTTTTTTTTTTTTTTTTTGATCAAACCGCATAACCACATTAAACACGCTGTCAGTCCGTATTTGTTATCTGTCTTAGGTGTGTGTGCCAATCCAACAGGCTGGATTTGTAAAAGCGCCAACGCTGACCTTATTAAGCGGGTCTGGTATCAGCCCAATTCACATTAAAATCGGCTTCTCAGTCACGGCATTTCACTGATTCCGCTTTAGCGCCGGGCTGTGGGCTGAATTTTGAGAACAGCCTCAACATGCACGATATATAGCAGTCTCAACTTAAGTGGCATCCAGACAGCAGAAGCCTCTTTTGTTTTCTGTTCCGCTCGGTTCATTTGTAGCTGTGCAGCGAGCTAATGTCACTTCCTAAATAGTAGCTTATAGCTTCTTGATATAGTTAAGGAATGAATCAGTCAGTGCAGTTTGTTAGATGAGAAGAATAGGAGCCCTTGTATTGAGTCGATACCAGCAAATATTCTCAGTTTAGGCATCGAATTTGGTACACAGACGCAAACGTGTTGCATCCCTGTCAAAATTTTCCAGACTGCATGATTAAATTTGTGTGTTTCCCCTTTAAAAAGCTTTTTTTTTTTGAGTGCATCTCAGGGCAGCACTTTCCCTGTAATGTCCGTACATTATGTAATTAACTCGCCTCTTTTATCTTTTTTTTTTTCCCCCCCTCTTACCTCTCTTCTTTTCCAGAGAGCATCAGGAAGGTGCTGGACAAACAGGCCATTAAGTTTGTGCGAGCCATCAAGCAGGACACCAGGAGCGGCAAATCAGAGGACAGGATTCTGGTGAGAGACGCCAACACCTCCCTCCCTGCCTCCCCCCCTACCGTTATTCTGCTTTCACACCAGGTCGCCCGAAGAGACGTATTGATAGTTAAAGAGAAAGCGCCCCACCTCGCTCGCGAGCTGTTAAATATGGAACAGAATAACGTCGGCCTCGTTACGGGCAAAATGGAAATCAATGAGACGTAATTGCAACAAATTGAAAGGGCCATAAGAAGTCGCAGATTACGCTTGCTCAGACACACAACAGACGCGGCGAAAATCGGGCTTAAGACAGATGCTGTCTAAGCAGAGCAAAGTGGACACCGTGCCACGGCCTACTGAGTCCGTCCTCAGAGTTTATTAGATGTGGCAGGATGGCCTTAATGCCACGGGCAAGAGTGTGATGTGTGTGAGCCGAACACGGTTGTGTGGTGTACATACAAGGCATCGTTTATTGTTTTTTTTTTTAACAGAAGAAGAAGAAGAAGCGGCGTGCGTGTGAGTGCATGCCAGAGGGTGTGTGGGCAGCTCGTGATGTGTTCAAGGAGCCTGTTCGAGCCGAGGCCACCGCTGTTATTGAGGAATTGTCAATTAGTCAGGCGCATTAGTGAGCGATCAGTTACTCGCGTGGCGCTGGCTGTGTGCGGGGACAGGGCTCGATTCCTCCCCAAGAAATCGACAGGAAAGACGAAGCTGATAAGCCAATCAGAACTATTAATCTGCACTTCTCTCAGTTTTCCATCTCTGCTGTTATTTCTCCCCCCGCCTCCTCCTCCTCCCCATCTCCTCCCCTCTCCTCTATTTTTGTCATCTCCTCTTTGTTTCCTCTCTCCCTCCCTCCCTATCTGTCCATCTCGATTATTCTCCACCCTGTCATCACCCTCCCACCTCCCCCTTCCTCCCCACCACCACCACCATCATCGCCACGCCGGTCGCCTCTCACTTTCACTGTCTCTCCCCTTTATGCCCTTCCCCTCTTCCCTCCATCTTTACTCAAACCTGTAAAAGGGTATTGAGCTCCTCTTTCCATCAGAAGCAATTCAATTAGGTCTTTGCCTTACGAGAGTTTTTTTTTTTTTTTTTTTACTATCCAAATGGGCCTTGGCTGCTGCTGCTGCTGCTGCTGCCGCTGCTGCAACTGCTCCTAATTCTTTCAAGGCAAGGGAAGGGAGGGAGGGGCAAGATGGATATATATGCATTCATTCTAGCTCGTTGTCAAGGTCTACCCCCTCTAAAAGGCAATCTTTTCCCTCTAATGGATACATTTGTTTGGATGTATGACGGCTGAACAGATGAGAGAGTTTGTAAATAGACTGTTTGTTTCAGTCTCGCTCGGTATTGGGCACAAAATATTCACTCATGCCCAGAAATGTCATACATAGCAGTTAGGGGGAAAGTGAAGTATTTTGGGATGGCTTTTTAATACGGGGCTCGAATTTAGACTTGAGAATCATTTTTCTAAGCCTCAAGGCTTAGGCGAGGCCTTCTTTTACCTTTATCCTCCCTTTCATGTGGATCTCCCCCTCTGAAGTAGGTTTAGCGGGTCAAATCTGTACAGCATCACAGTCTTCATCTCCGCTCGTCTGGTTTGTTTAGTTCGCGGAAAGAGAGTTTTCAGAAAAAAAACATGGAGTTGATATTCACTGTTCTATCTGTTAAAGTCTTTGTTCTACTGTTTGCTGTTTCTTTTTCGCCCCGTTTTCCCTGCGGAGATTGCTGGTATCCAACTGTCGGTGTGTGTTGACTGTACCAGCCATCATGCTGCGACGCACACACACACACACACACATAGAAAGAGAGAGAGAGGGTTGTCTCCTCCCCACCACCCCTCGCAGACAGACACAGGGAGGGCTCAGCATGACATCCAAACAGCACCCAGGGCAGTGCGATGGGGAGCATCAACACGCATGTTTCCATCATTGGCTGAACTCAGACTCACTCACGCACACATGCACAACGCTCATGTGTGCAGTTTGACATGTGCAAGGAGGCATCTATGCACACACACACACACACACACACACATGCCTGGGTGCATTGCTGGCGCGCACACACTCTTACAGCCATTATTAGATCACCCTATTTGAAGATTAGAGGCAACTCAGAAAACAAAGCATCTTCAAAGGCTTGAGAAAGAGGGGAGAGAGACGTGGAAGGAGGCAGGGAGAGGGAGGAGTGGGTGTGATGGGAGAAGTGGGGAGGGCATCCCACTAGAGGAACAGGGAGTGAAGGCGAGAGATGTGGGAAGGGAGTCGGGGTGGGGGGGGGAGAAAATCTCTGATGCGTTGTGATGCCCCAGTTGCCGATTTGGTTCTTCCGCCACTTATTTATCCTGATCGGTCGCTCCATTTTTATCCCCTGTTGACTCTGCGGTTTTCCTCGCTCCCACCTAATAATGGGCCTATTACTGGCTCACAGTGCCACTGTTTGACAGTCCCGAACACACTCGGCTGCTTATTCCCACTTAAGTTGTGCGGTTACGTGGAGGTCCTGCTCATGAGACTCTGGTAGGACTGAGGTTTGAGGTCAAGTTGGCGCTACTGCATTTAAAGATCAGGCTGCGCTTTTTTTTTTTTTTTTGCGAGCGTAGTGGCTGTGTCAGTGTGGGGGGAAGTTTACGACACGGCAGTAATTTTTGAAATTGATGGACGTAATATATAACGATGACTTACGGTCTGCAATTTCTATATTTCTAGTTTTGTGGTTTTGAGCCTCTAGTTGAGGGAAAGGATTATTTCCTTTCTCCATACAGCTGGAGATTTGATTCTCGGCTACATGTTTGATCTATAAAATGTTTCCCAGAGATGATTTCCTCAGCTCTCTTGTTTTGTCTACAACCCAAAGATATTCACTTTGTTGTTATGAAAGAGTAAAGAAACCAGAAAATGTTCAAAGTTAAAAGGCTGGGATCTGAATGCTTTTTTTCACTCAAACCAATCAGTTGCCGATCAAAATAGTTGCAGATTAATTCGATGGCTGATAACTGATCAATTAATCTTCTTAGCAAATCATAGAAATGAGAGTTCACAGTAAAAGTCAGCAATCTGGATACATGTTTCTCCACTCATGAGACACAAAATGCATTCTGTCCTTGCACATCTGAGCAAATGGTTAGACTTGAAAAATAAGAATTAAAAAAACCTGAAACATGAATTGCACAATACAGCATCACTAAATATTGACATATGCTGGAATTGAGTCATTGCAGAGCCACAAATGTTTTGGATGGTGGATCGTATTTTTGTGGTTTTCTTTTCTTTGTTTTGTTAGAAGTATTTCCCCCCACATTTTACCTCTTTGGACCAGACTTGTGAAGTAAGTCAGTGTTGAATCAGGATTGCTAATCAATACCAACCTGTATTTACCTGACCAGTAACAGTATCTCAATTGAAAATAAGGTCCAAAAATCTCTACAAATCTGAACAAATATACAAAAAAATAGCATTAGAGGCATCATACTGACAATATTTAATTTTTTATACTACTTTTACCATGAATGGACATTTCTAATAATGGAGCACGTGCTGGAAAAATGTTACAAAGGATCATAAATTAAAGTATTAAAAGGGGTTCTTCCCACTTAAACATGCCTTTTGAGTTGTAAACTAATTGCTATGGCTCTACTGTGTTAAAAAATGAATCCGTGCTGGTCTTGATATTTCTAAAAAACTTGACATTTCATGGGTGAAAATGGCTCAAATATGAGAAAAGAAGAACAGAAAATGGCTCAACACACCGTCTACTCTTTGAGATCGCTGACATCAAGTCAAGGGACTCATCTACGTCATGAAATTTAGATTAAAGAGAGTGTTAATGTCCCTTAATCAGGTGGGTGGCACACCTTCCTTAACCCCTGCCCTTGGGTGGGAGTCTGAAAACGCTCATTGTTAAATATATCGAGGCTCATCGTTCACCACTACTTCATATTTTTTAGTTTTGATGGTTCAGACTTTTGCTTTTGTAGGAGCACTGCCAAACTGGGTTCTTTCACCTTCAGATCCTTATTCTACCTTCCTAACTGATGTCATATTGCCACTCATAGGCTCACACCATCCGCTCTGGCTCCGATTAATACGGGTCAGAACCACCATGTTGCTTCACCTCACTAATATCTGCTTCAAAGCCCTCCACCTCAGAACAGCCCTCTGTGGTCTGGTGTTGCAGATTCCGTGCTGCTCTTTATTTATCTGGCTTGGGGACGTCACTGTGCAACTCCTGCCTCACATCCACGTCGCTCCTCTCTGTCCTTTGTCTGCGTTTTAGCATTTTACTAAATGACATGAAAGGTGGAGTTGGACTCAGAGCTGGGGGAGGAGTTACACTTTTAATTTAATGCACTGTAACTGATCTATGTTCAGAAGATATACTTGAAACTCTGTGCGTTGTATGGAGTAGGGAGATTATCCTCATCTGAACTAAGAGTCTGAGCAAGAAAAACACAGAAGTCCCCCGAGACTAACTTGTGTTTTCATGCTAAGTTCTGTAAATGAAATCGATCCGACTCGGAGCTGCTAGCAGCCAGGCCCGCCTCCCATTTGTAGTTAATCAGCATCATCAATATCTTTCTTTAGGATTCCTTCCTCTTGTCCTAAATCCAACTTCATGAATCTCATTTTCCTTAACTGAGTTGTCTTTGCTTGTTGTTTTAATTTTCTTATTTATTTTTTCCCCTCCTCTGCCTGTTTATTGTTTTTAAAGCGTTTCTTTTGCTCCTTTTTTTTTGACATCATCTCCATGAATTAGCATTTTCCGTGTTCTCGCTGTGTGCCCTCTTAATTATTGAATTTTATCGCTCTTTGGAGTGGCTAAATTGCCTCTGTTGCTCAGTGTCCAGGGTAAATTCCATCACTGACTTGTGTTTAACTGACTCGTCCGGAGCTGGAGGTGACTCAGTGGTGGCAAATCCAAACCTGCGGAGTTAAAATTCTCAGGAGGGCACCGGTGTGAAAGTGGCACCTCGTTGGTTTGTGCAGTTGTACGGTGTCTCCTGTGGCTCTGAAAAAGTCATCAAGATCATCTCA